ATGAGTTTGAGCCCCGCGTCGGGCTGTGTGCTGACAGCTCGGAGCCTGGAGCCTGCTTCAGATTCTGTGTCTCCTTCTTTCTCTGCCCTCCCCCACTCGTGCTCGCTGTCTCTCTCTCTCTCTCTCCCTCCCTCTCTCCCTCTCTCCCTCTCTCCCTCTCTCCCTCTCCCTCTCTGTCAAAAATAAATAAGCATTAAAAAAAATTTTTTTTAAAGAATGGCTTCTGCAAGTAGATGAGAATGGAATTAAACCTGAATAATTAGAAAGACTCAACCATGTGAAGATGTATGATGAGAGTGAGCCAGGTAGAGAGAAGAGCAAGTGCAAAGGTCCTGTGGGAGAAATAAGCTTGGGATGTGCAAGGACCACTCACACACACACACACACACACACACACACACACACACAACCAGTGAGGCCAAAATATACAGGGAAAGGGAAGAATTGTATGAGATGAGATTGCAGAGGTGTGTCTTGTTTTTCTTGTTCACTGCTACAACCAAAAACCTAGAACCATGTTTGGTCTATGACCGGTACTGAATAAATTTCTGCCAAATGAATGAATGAATTTAAAATTTGAGTTAGACAGTCTCAAAGGTTCCTTCAGGGCAGGGACCAGAGCATATAGAAATTTGCAGGTCAGGGATAGAGGAGTTTGGATTTTATTCTAATCATAAAGGAAAGTCATTGAAGGCTTTTAAGCATGGGAATTCTGTGATCTGATTTATGCTTTGAAAATATCATTCTTGCTACTGTGTGGAGAATAGAATGTAGATATGCTGAATATCTTCCATTGCTCCTATAGGTCCACTCTGCCTTTCCACCTGTATCTCAGAAGGCTAACCTAGATAGACTCTACCCTCTTGGCTTCTAGTTGTGTTCAACCAATGGTGTTTTCAGCAGGCCATCAGAAGGAGAGAGAAGCTGTCTTCAAAACTGAGTATGCCATCTATATGCTACTAGGACCTAACTGAGAAAACTAGAGACATGTTTAGGAAGCTTTGTAGTAGTCTAAATGAGAGATTATGATATCCTCATTTATTATTTGTGGTGGAGGTCAAGTTTATTTTGGAGGGAAATCTGACAGTATTTGCTCATAGATTGAGTGTCAGGGAAGAGGTGGTAAGAAAGAGGAAATGCTCAAGGATATTTCCCATGTTTCTGTCTTAGATATAGCACCATCCAGTAAATGGGGAAGATTGAGAGGAGAGTGGATTTGGGGCAGGGTTCAAAGGGCAAGATCAAAAGTTCCATTCTGGGCACATTTAGGTAAAAATGCCTGTTCACATTTAAGACATAGGGGAGAGGTCAGAGATTAAGATTTAAATTTTGACTCATCAGCATAAACTTTTTTTTTTTCCAGACAGTTACCTGTTGAACAAAATTGCATTAAGTTCATGGAAGAACTTTAATAATTCATAGAATAGAAAGAATTATAGAGAACGCAGTCCCTACCTAAGTTTGGCAAATTTTAGAAATCAGAAATTCACATCGCTAGTTGTCTAATTATAAAAGAGTCCTAAGAAGGGCTGAATGATAATGGTTATAACTAATCTGATGATGGAATAACTGGTTGGCTAGAAGTGAGAATTCAATAGAAATAAGAGAAGGCTGGCCTAAGAAGTCATGAAAAAGGCTATAAAACCAAATTTAAAACCTTGGTTGTCTGTAATAGCAAGAAGGCATGTTTTAAGCAAATGGAACTCTTGGCCACTAATTTAAATTTCCCCCAACCACCAACTTCAATTCCACAAATATTTATTGAGAATTTACATTTGCAGGAGGCACTGTGCCGGGCAGTGTGGGTACAAAATGCATTGAAGAAGTAAAGTAAACTTCTACCAAACAAGAACTAAAATTAAGGTTTGCTTCTGTCAAAATGAAAAGACCGGGGAGTCATCAAAATGAACCAGAGAAGCCTAAGTCCTGGCCCACTCACAGCTTGAATCATGAGCTCCGAGGCCATAGATTTTTCCTTAATTAAGGTTAAACAACATGCTAGACAAGCCCTTGGAAGGAACTGTTTGGATCTGTAATGAATAATAACAGGCTGCAGACCACTTCCAACGGTCTACCTACACGTTCAACTTCGTGGCATAGCCTAGGAGCTGTGTTCAACTGTAGCCTTTCAGCTCAGAAATCTCTAGGGAAAATACATTTCCAGGCCCACCACAGTGTAAATAAGCCATTTGGAAATGTGTGTCCCCGATCTGGAGCATGGACCTTCTCCTGCCTGTCAGGGATAGTCCCAGAGTGGAGGCTGAGGATTGAATTGCAAAGCACCGCCCCTCCAGTGGCAGAAAGGATGAGACCAGGCTCTGGCAGGCTTGGTGCTTAGGAGGCCAGGGGCCCTCAGTGGGAAGCAGCAGCGGCCTACCCTCCCACTGCAAACAGAGAGAAGCTCCTACAGCCACAAGAAAGAAAAGCTGATCTTGGGCTCCTCTCCCGCTGTGTCCACACTCCCAGCGGGGAGCATGTGCTCAGGAGGAACTGGGTGAATGTTGCACAGAATGGAAGTAAACCAGTTTTTGCCCAGGTGTGGCCTTAGTCGAATCTCTTCACCACTCCAGCCTCAGCTTCTTTATCTGTACAGTAGGGATAAGATCTACCTCCCAGGACGGTTTTGCCTTTACCATGACCCTTCTCTTTTTGTACAGTGTTTAGGTAGTTGAATCCAGCCATAGAAAATATATTTAGAGGTGGGGGGTGGAACACCTGGGTGGCTCAGTCGGTTAAGCATCTGACTCTTGATTTCGGCTCAGGTCATGATCTCATGGTTGATGGGTTCAAGCCCCACATTGGGCTCTGCGCTGACAGCAAGGAGTCTGCTTGAAATTCTCTGTCTCCCTCTCTCTCTCTGCCCCTCCCCTGCCCTCTCTCCAGTAGTTCTGAGGTCTTACACCTCTCACAACTGCAAACAAAGAGCAGTTTTGCATAGGCCAGTTGCAAGCAATCACTGGTTCTAACAGAGGTTTCTGGGTCCCATGTACCCCTACATGTTTATTTTATTCCCATTGAAAATGGTGGAGGGATGGAGAGATGGCTCATTTGGAGAGATGGTTTTCAATCCTGGTTTACAGAATTACTTGGGAGATTTCTTTTTTATTATTATTTATTTAAAAAGCTGATGCCGGGGCGCCTGGGTGGCGCAGTCGGTTAAGCGTCCGACTTCAGCCAGGTCACGATCTCGCGGTCCGTGAGTTCGAGCCCCGCGTCAGGCTCTGGGCTGATGGCTCAGAGCCTGGAGCCTGTTTCCGATTCTGTGTCTCCCTCTCTCTGCTCCTCCCCCGTTCATGCTCTGTCTCTCTCTGTCCCAAAAATAAATAAACGTTGAATAAATAAATAAATAAATAAATAAATAAATAAATAAATAGCTGATGCCTGGGAGGCACTTCCCAAAATTTCTGATTTAATGGATCTGAGATGGGACCTAGACCTCAGTACTTTTTAAAAGCTCCCAGGTGATTTTAAAGTGCATCCAGGGTTGGGACCACTAAGAGACAGTGACCGCTGGGCCACAGCAGCATTCTGACCATACTCAATCACCATCCTAACCTTGACCATGAGCACAAATCCCCCTTGCACTTCCAAGTACAGGCCATTGAGCACAGACCCCCGCAAGTCCTAAGAGGCCCCTGCTGCAGCACAAGCCACTCCCGTAAAAACTCTCAGGTCTGTGTATCCAGGCCTAACCCCCCAGCGAGCCCAAGGGCAGCAGGTAAAAGGGAAAGGACTATTCTTGAAGAAAAAAGAACACTCTCTAGCACTTTGTCAGGAAAGTAGCCCCAACAAAGAGTAGCCACTGGAAACTAATCTAAAAGCGACAGAACACCCAAAGCCACAATGGCTTAAATAAGAAAGAAAAGTATTTCCTTCTCATTTAAACACAGGCCATCCAGGGCCCATGTGGTGGCTTCACCATCAGGAAGACAGGCTACTTCCATCTCTTTGCCTATCACTGTCCAAGATGGGAGGTTAAAGTTTAGACCTCATGTTCACATTCCAGTCAGCAAGGAGGGGAAAGTGAAGCGGGGGATGCCACACTCTTTTCATGGTTATTTCCCTAAAATTGCACACAACACTGCCATGTATATCCCATTGGCCAGCACTTAATCATGGAGCCATGTGCATCTTCAAGGAAGATCAACGAATACAGTGTGTATGCTGAAAAGTCATGTGCCTAGCTAGACATGCTAAAAATTGGGGGTTCCTTTGCTGTTGCAAGGGAGGGGGCTACTGGGAAAACAGCCAATAGTTGATGCCACAGGGGCCTCCCTTTCCCTTCATGCAACTGGACTGTAACTATTAAGTTACATGTAAACAATGTGTTTGACTGGGGTCCCAGTGAAAACCACTGAAATAAGACTATTTTCCTATAGCCCAAATTCCAGTGGCTGTAGCTCCCACTGCCCTAAGAAATCACCAGTCCTACAAGAGGACTTCCAGGGGAGTTCTTCAGAAAACGAGGCCTTAAATCTAATGTCCCTCCAATAGGGTAGAGTGAATATTCACACTTAGAAGGAAAGGGCTGACTTCTGTGCACATTAATTCCTCCAGATTTACACTGATGGCAGGAGCTCTCTCTTGCTCTTTCTGGAAGCTGCACAGATTATTTTCACTGGATCGTAAATATGTTTAACACCCTATTATACTAACCTTTTAAACCAGTTGTCTTGGGTAGCTGTAAATCATAGTTTAGGAACAACTTTCTATGATTCAAAGGCCCTTGAAATTCCTGGATGCTGTAGTTAAATACTTGAAATTAAGATTGGAGGGTATAGATTTTGCTACATTTCAAGGAAAGGAAACAAAATCCTTTGGGCTGGTTCTTAGTTTTCTTTTTCTTTTCTTTCTTTCTTTCTTTCTTTTTTTTTTTTTTTTTTTTTTTTTTTTTTTTTTTTTTTTTTTTTTGCAATCTTTATTCAGCCAGGGCTAAGATAAGAATTGGCAGTCAAACATCTACTGTCCTATGTTAGGTTGACTTTCTCTTCCTTCCCCAGTGTTCCCGAACCTGTGGCGGGGGCATCCAGAAGCGTGAGGTTCTTTGCAAACAGCGCATGGCTGATGGCAGCTTCCTGGAGCTTCCTGAGACCTTCTGTTCAGCCTCAAAACCGGCCTCCCAGCAAGCCTGCAAGAAAGATGACTGTCCCAGCGAGTGGCTCCTCTCCGACTGGACGGAGGTATGTAGGCTCCTCAGAAGGAAATAATGAAAGAGGTGTAAGGAAGAAAAGCAGGCACCCCAAACTTACACATAGAGAGGATAAGAATAGAACAAAATAATCCTCCTAGCATTATGGAACAGATTTTTGTAAGCATTTATACCACAATGTGTCACTAGCTTTTAACTAGGCTGCAGGGACATGAGGTAAACAGCCAGCCCTGATGCAACAATCAGAAGCATGGAATTGTAAACGGGCTCCTCGTGGAACAAAACCAGACCTTGTTTGGCCCAGAATTCTTCTCAGAACACTGCGTTGTTCTACCTTCATCCCCACACCCACCTCCCCGACCTCCCGGCACCTCCTCCTCCCAGATGTTTCTAGTCTCTACTCAGGAAGGGCAAAGCCTCTCTCGTTATTCCCTTCCAAGTTACTGGACAATAAGGAACATGATTTATTAAGAAGAGAAGACCAGGGAAATCCTGCCTCTTTACTGTCAGTTTCCTGGCTCCAAGACGCTAACAATTTCCCAGCAAGAGAACTTGATTTCCCCTGTTGCTTGCATTTAGGGGGATGATTACATCAGCATCCACCATTTCTGACTTGCCTCATAAGTTAGGGATATACCCCCAACTAACCTACTTTTCTAAACAGTTCCTACTCTAACACTAGCATCAATGAAGTCATTTACACTCACTTTCGACTTGTTTTCAGCCCCTTTGACTACTGTGAATTGCCTACAACTCCCTCAGCATCGTAGGCCTGTGTGTCTTCCATAAAGAAGTCCCCCCAGAGGTACTGTCTCCTAAGCAAATGTAGCCAAGAACAGAATCGCCAGGCCCGAAATGAAAATCTTTGTGTCACGAACAGATGCAACACTGTGCCCTTTCTTGCACATAAGCATTTGAATTGGCCTTACTGATCCCACTGCCTTCTCTGTGGTTGTGTGTATACATGTGTGTGTGTATGTTGTACAGATACACAGGATGGGGCTGCTGCTGGTTGAAATACATCCCAGGGACACTTGCTTCCACAGAGAGAAAAGCTGCCTCTGAAAATTAAGATGCTACCTCTTTCAACCTGTTCTTAGACTTCTTGTCCTTGATTGTATCCACTCATACAGAGTTCACTCAGATGATACCTGCTAAGGGCATTGCAATTGTGAGGTAACCTACATTACCACAGGTTTTGTAATTTGGCAATAAATTGCCTTCTGATGGCATCTCACCCCAAATGTCTCAGAACAGGAGTAGGGCATGATTATTTTTTTCAAATTTTAGAAACAATTTTCTTTCAGCAAGATAAAGGATTAGAAGCGTGTCAAATAAGTGTGTGTGTGTGTGTGTGTGCACGCACGCACACACACGTGTGCACGCATGAACATGTGACTGACAGTTTTTCTATGGAATGATTCGGGAGTATAGTATTATATCTGAAAAAATCATAAAACAGTGCAAGAGAGTGTAGTCATATAGTTGCCAAGTAAGTGACTCTAGATGAAGATTTCCTCCCAGGGGCATATTGTGAAAGGTGTCCTTCTACAAAGTCTATCGGTGACAGTTGCCATGAGTGGGATGCTGAGGAACGGACTTGTATGTACTATAATTGTCCTCCCGTGTTCCTGGAGTTTGTGGCCTCTGAGCACATGATACCCACAGAATTCAGAAAAAATTATTTTAGGCCCTCAGATTTGAAGCAGGGACCATTGTGATTAGGCACTTAGAAAATGAAACTGCTGAATTGAGGTACTCTGGGTCCCATTAAGTACAGCAGACAGTTTTTGTTTTTTTTTTTAAGAGAGTTGGTAGGAGAAGCAGAGAGAAAATCTTAAGCAGGCCCCGTGCTCAGTGCATAGCCCAATGTGGAACTTGATCCCACGACCCTGGGATCGTGACCTGAGCTGAAATCAAGAGTCAGATGCTCAACTGAGTGAGCCACCCAGGTGTCCCAAGTATAGTAGACCGTTAGAATTATGTCATGTGTGCTTAGGAGTTAGACTCACAGACAGGCAAACTTAGGTTCTAATCCTGACCTTGCCACTCTGCTCTGTAACTTTGGGCTATTTAACCTTTCTCAGTTTGCATATATGAATATTGGGGATATATAATGTCCACTCATATGATTATTGGGAGGCTTCAGTCAAATGATGCATATAAACTACTTTGTGCCTAGTAAAAGTTAACCCTATTATTGTTATGATTCTCTTCCATCCCTGCTCATTGTCAGGAGGAGAGGAAATAAAAGAAAGTGCTTACCTTGACTGGCCAGACTCAGGGTCATGCCCTAGGCTTCCTGTGGGCTTTCCCAGTCTTCCTAGGAAGAAGAAGTTACACTTTGGGAAGTAGGACTACTCAGCCCTTATCCATGGAATGTTATTAGGTTCTGAGTTACCTGGGTTGATGAATGGAAATTGCAAACACCAGGGAAGGACTGGGAATGGTGGGAAGTAATCACCAATTCACTGGGATTAAACTCAAGCTGGTGCCATGCAACAATGCTCCCGGGGGCATTCACAGAGGCTGTAATTGGCCCTGTCATCCCAACAGCCCTTGCCCTGGCCCTCTGGCTGAGATGAAGCATACATTCCACATCCCCTACCCCCAAGACTCCCCTTGGAGAAAGGAAGACCTGGATGATCTATGGGTGTTTTTCATCCTCAACTATCTGGACTCAATCTCATAGTTACTGCACAGAATCCCTTAGAGACAGAATTAAGCCAAAATTTTAGACACTTCAAATAAAATTACTTTCAGATTCTATTCTGAGAATACGACCTCTTAAAAGGCCTTACTTCTTTTCTTTAAAAGAATTCCTTGCATCTCTTGACAGAGTTGGCTATTATATATTTTTAAATCATATTTTTATGAAAGTCATCCCCCCCCCAAAATATAAAAGAAATTAAGGTCAGAATAGTCCATTTCAGAGCTACAAGGAGCTTAGAAGATCCTATAGCCTGGTTGTTCCTTTAAAAATTAAAGCCACAGAACCCTTTCTTTCAATTGAAATGTTACTATGAAGCCAAGAATCTAAAACAGATCAAATCAGAGCTGTTTGGATTGAAGTGTGGATTAGGGTCCCAGATCTCCATAGGTTGGGTCTCCAGATCACCGGAAAAGCCCCTGAATCACTTCCTCAACATAGAACAGGGTGTGACAATCCCTGCTCTTGCTTAGTTTTATTTTAGAGATAAGGAAATGGAGTCTCAAGAAAGAACTACACTTGACCAAATCATCAACCAATCTTCGGACACACAGTCTGTTTTTCTGCTTGGCAACACTAAACTGACCATGCTTTTAAATTTTCCAGGCTCTTTGCCTCCATCCCACCTGATTCCGGGATTTGGTGCTGTCATTTACAATAAAATAAGGGATGGGTGGAATCTGGAATCCACGATCATCAGGGAACAAGAGCAATGGGTTTGATTCTTACATCCATTTTTTGCATCTTAAATGTCGTTCAGGCTGGTGTATATCACAGTACATTGCAGGGAATGGTTCATTTCAGTGGGTTAGCATATAACACTTGAGAATATAAGATGATTTTTTTTGTTTTTAGTGTTCATTTTTCAAGTGAACGTGGCATACTGCCATGACCCTAGTTCAGGTCTTTATCATCTCAAGCCTGGACTACTGTGGCAGCCTCCTCAACTGACATCCCCGCCTGCCATAGATCTCCTACTCCCATCCCTCCCAGACACTGTTGCCAGATTAACCTTCTCAAAACACCTCTTTCATCATTTCACTCCTCCCTTCAATGGCTCCTCATTGCCTTGTGGACCAATTCCAAACCTCCTATCTGAAAATGAAGTCTCCAACGTCTGGCCCCAAACTACCTCGTGAGCTCCTGATACTCTCAACTTGTTGCCTCTGTTCAGTCAAACTGGCTTAGCTCTGCCCCCAAGCCTGCCTTGGATTTTTACACTGAACTCTTCAACATTTGTTCTGGATATGCCCCTGCCCCCCATGCTCATCGCAGGTTTCTACACCCCTTCAGACTCTACCCATCTTCAAAACCTAGGCCAGGAAATCACAAGTGTACCAACAGCATTCAACAATTGTGAGCATTCATTTTATAACACTTGTCTTCTAGCTTTATATTTCTACTAAATTCTTCCATTACTATCTCTTTAAATAGTTTTATTGAGGTGTAACTTATATACTATAAAATTCAGCTGTGCATTGTTTCCAAGGTTTATCTGTTTACCACATATTTAAGAGACCAACATTCCTTTTAAGGTACAATAAGATTCCATTACATAGATAGACCATATTTTTATTGATCCATTCACCAGTTGGTGGACATTTGAGCTGTTTCCCTTTTTGTCTGTTACACACTTTCGCATACAAGTCTGTGTGGATGTACATGTTCACTTGTCTTGGGTAGATACCTATGAGTGACATTGCTGGGTCATGGGGGTCAATGTATGTTTATCTTTTTAAGAAATTATCAAGCTGTTTGTCAAGAAGACTGTAGTATTTTACATTGCCACCAGCAATTTATGAAGGTTCTAATTTGTATATCCCCACTCATAGTAACATTTGTTATTGTCTTTTTTACTATGGCCATTTCAGTGGATAGGAAGTGGTATCTCATTGTTGTTTTGGTTTCTATTTCCCTAATACAGTATTTCATTTTAGCAATGTTTTTGGATTGCCCTCCCCCATTATTGATGACAGCTCCTTGAGGTTACAAACCACCTTGCACAGTTTTTCCTTAGTATCTAGCACCCTACCTCAAACATAGTACATGTATAACAACTACCACCTCATGCTTGACATTAAAATATTACACTTGTGAAAGAAGGAGAAAAAATTAGCATTGAGTGTCATTTCTGTGTGTGAAACTTAAAATATATTATCTCATTTAATTCCCCACCTTGAAAAATAAGTCTAAGAAGTGCAAACAGACTCTGAGTTGCCAACTGCTAAAATGCTGAGCAGGGATTTGAACACAGGACTCTATGACTCTGTAACTCTAAAGCCCAGGCCATCTAAGTAAAAAACAGGTAGAGTGTCTACAGGAAACATTAGAGTAGAAAAATCTTAGAAGGGTTCCTGGGTAGCTCAGTTGGTTAAGCATCTGACTCTTAACTTCTGCTCAGGTCATGATCTCATAGTTCATGATTTTTGAGCCCCGTCGAACTCTTCACTGACAGTACTGAGCCTGCCTGGGATTCTCTCTCTCTCTCTCTCTCTCTCTCTCTCTCTCCCCCTCCCCCACTCACACATGCACGTGCTCTCCCTCCCTCTCTCTCAAAATAAATAAACTTTAAAAAAAAACAGAGAAAAATCTTAGAGCTAGCAGGTGGTTACAATATGGACAATCTTCCCATATTGTTACATAATTAGTATTTCTTTTAGTGACTGTTGCTTTTCCAAGCAACTTTTCTCATATTTGGGGGTGTTTGAGAGTCCATACAAAAACCCGTTAGCCTCTACACTTACATGCATTTGACCTTTGTTTTCCCTCACCAGTGTTCCACAAGCTGTGGGGAAGGCACCCAGACTCGAAGTGCCATTTGCCGGAAGGTGCTAAAAACCGGGGCCTCGGCCATTGTCAATTCCTCCCTGTGCCCTCCCCTGCCGTTCTCTTCATCCATCAGGCCCTGCATGCTGGCAACCTGTGCACGTGAGTATGTCAGAACTCTGGGGATAGGGAGACAGAACCCACGTAGAAGCAGCTGAAGCCACGCAGTAGCCTTCCCTAAACCCAAGACCGGGTAGGAGATTGTCAGGCAGGAAGCCTGAGGAGGGCAGCAGGCTGGTAAACTCAGCTGGAAGTGGAAAAGGAATCTTAATTACACGTGGCCAGGCAGAATTCTCTTCTCGGCTGGAAAAACAGTTTGCAGGGGGTAGAGCAAAGTTCACTTGCTGGCATACAGAGATCTGGAAGCCGGAGTCAGCAGATTACTAATGAAATCGAATGTGGTCCACTCTGGGGTTTTAAAATGCTCTGAACAGATTTGTTCTGTTTAATAGTAATCCCTAGAGTTGTACTACTTCTGGGCTCTTCCCCCCAGGCCCCCACCCCAGAGGCCACTAGGGCCTTGGTGCTCTGCAGACCCCAAAGGGTAAACGTGGAAAGGGAGACATTCTCCTTCCCTTTGTCCTCTGCCTCTTTTTATGATTCTTTTCTTTTCTTTTCTTTCTTTCATCGTTCTAACGAGAGGAACTGCCTTTCCCCTGGGATCCCCCTCCATCTAGAACCTGCCTCTCAGCTTCTAGGGGTAGCCAGCCCCAGCAGGGTGAGAGCGGGCTGCCCCGCGGCGCCTAATTAGTTCGAGCTTTGCCTGTGCAGCCGCTTGATGGTCCACGGCTGGTAGCCACTTCCTCCCCGAAAACCTAAGGCGGCCAATGAAGGCCCTGGCCAAAAGCAACTCTGAGGCCGCTTTCTCTCCCTCTTCCCTTGTGTGTGCCTCCTCTGCCTTCCTCTTCGCCCTCTCTCTTGTGCCTGTGTTCGTTGGCTCTCGTTTTCCTCTGCCATTCCTTCTCTTTCTGCATCTGCCTGGCTTCCCTCGCATTCCTTTCGTTCCAGGGCCGGGACGGCCAGCCACCAAGCACAGCCCTCACATTGCGGCCGCCAGGAAGGTCTACATCCAGACGCGCCGGCAGAGGAAGCTGCACTTTGTCGTGGGGGGCTTCGCCTACCTGCTCCCCAAGACGGCTGTGGTGCTGCGCTGCCCCACGCGGCGCTTCCGCAAGCCCCTGATCACGTGGGAGAAGGACGGCCAGCACCTCATCAGCTCGGCGCACGTCACCGTGGCCCCTTTCGGCTACCTGAAGATCCACCGCCTCAAGCCCTCGGACGCGGGCATCTACACCTGCTCTGCCGGACCCGCCCGGGAGCAGTTTGTCATTAAGCTCATCGGAGGCAACCGGAAGCTGGTGGCCCGGCCCCTGAGCCTCAGGAGCGAGGAGGAGGCCCTCGCGGTGAGGAAGGCCAGCCCAAAGGAGGCCCTGCAGACCCACAAACACCAGAACGGAATCTTCTCTAACGGCAGCAAGGCTGAGAAGCGGGGCCCCGCCGCAGACCCGGGGAGCCGCTACGATGACCTCGTCTCCCGGCTGCTGGAGCAGGGGGGCTGGCCCGGGGAGCTCCTCGCCTCCTGGGAGGTGCAGGACTCCACGGAAAGGAACACGTCTTCCGAGGAGGACCAGAATGCCGAGCAGGCCCTCTGGCACCTGCCCTTCACCATGGTGACCGAGCAGAGGCGCATGGACGACATACTCAGGAACCTCTCCCAGCAGCCTGAGGAGCTTCGAGACGTCTACGGCAAGCACCTGGTGGCCCAGCTGGCCCAGGAGATCTTCCGCACCCACCTGGAGCACCAGGACGCGCTGCTCAAGCCGTCTGAGCGGAGGCTACCCCCGGTGGCCATCCCCCCTCATAAGCACGTGTCTGGTTTCAGCAGCTCTCTCCGGACCTCGTCCGCTGGGGAGGCCGGGGGTGGCTCTCGCCGGCCCCATCGCAAGCCCACCATCTTGCGGAAGATCTCAGCTGCCCAGCAGCTCTCGGCCTCCGAGGTGGTCACCCACCTCGGGCAGACTGTGGCCCTGGCCAGCGGGACACTAAGTGTGCTCCTGCACTGTGAGGCCGTCGGCAACCCAAGGCCTACCATCAGCTGGGCCAGAAACGGAGAAGAGGTTCAGTTCAGCGACAGGTGAGCCTTGCAGATACCCGGGTCTGGGAAGGGAAGGGGCAAGGGGCCATATCTCGCCCAAGGTGCTTTATTGGCCCTGCAGGTGGTTCCAAGAGTGGGGCGCAGAGCCCTGGGTTTCAAGTCCTCTTTTAGCACCAGTAGGGCTATTGAAACAAAGACGAGGTGTTTGGTTTTTCTAAACTGTATTCTGCCCTCTTTATAAGGTAATAGCAACAATGCCTATCCACCCCAAGCCCCATAGGGCCCCAAAGATTAATGAGATACTTTCCAGATAGCTTTGAACTTCTGGCAGAAAGATATCATTCCAGGCCAAGGCATTTTTACATTATTGCTCTGTGAGATGGACCATTGAAAAGCTTATATGTAGGGATACTGTCTCCATGTGTGTGGTCCCCCAGGGCTGGGGAGAGAGTGCAGCCAGCACCTGCTGCTCCCTGTGGGTGAGACCATCCTCTGTGTGGGCCAGACAAGGCTGTTTGTTCCAGAAAGTTTTTATTCCCAGTCAGACCTGTGATTAATTATCCTAATCCCTCTTGGTGTCTCTGTCTTGATGTGTCATTACTAGGATGACACCACGTATCACTTACTGGTTTCCTTGGGCTGTAGCCATTCATAATGTAAAATCAATGGTGGTGGTCGAAGTTATAACAGTAATATTTTGGAACACCGCATGCCAAGAAGCATGCCATAATTCCTGCATGCATTCTCTTAATCTTTATAGTGGCCCTGACAACAACGATAGCTGCCCTCGAGCAGTGACAGTCTGCCAGGTAAATGTGGTGTTGGTGTGCTTTATCTCACCCATTTTCACCGTACCTCTCAGAAGTGGGTACAGTTTTTATCCATATGTTACAGAAGAGGAAACAAAGTCTAGGAACTTGCTGAAGATCACAATTATTGGGTGGCAGGGCCAAGACACGTGATGCTAAGATAGGCAATCAATGGAAGAATCGTAGACTCTGGGTAAGAGAGGACTCTGGACAGTCCTCCAGCCCAGAGACCTTGTTGTACATTTTTATCTTCTCTGAATCCATGTAGAATGCCCTTTTCATTAAATATACTTCTAAATACTATTCTTTGGTAATCCTCTTCCCTAGTTTGCTAGCTTTGGGTAAGGACAGAACGAAGGCAGGATTTGTTGTGCCAAGCGGTTTGCCAGGTTTCTCTAAATGTGACTGCACCTGTTAGGCTACCTGTCAATCTGCAAGACTGACATTATCCTCCAGTGTCACATAGAAAATCAAGCTTTACCAGCTCTCTCAAGAAGACCATGCTTTAGTAAGAGCCGGGCCAAGGATTCAATATCAAGTTTACTTGAGTCCAAAGAGTACACAGCTCTGTCTACTCTTCTGAGACTTGGTGAAAAAACGTGACTTTGTCTAGCCTGCCCACATCTTTTGTGCCTTTGAAATGTCAATAATATTGCCTGTCAGCCTTACAGTACTTACAGACCAAACACTTAATAACAATACTAAGTGTTTTTTCTGTGTACTTTTAGTAGATGCCAGACACTGTGCTCAGTGCTTTATGGCACTATCTTGTTTAATCTTCAAAAAAGAAAAAAACCCTAGGGGGTAAATACTATTGTTGTTACCATATCAACAAAAGAAAGCTGAGGCACAGATGTGGGACCCCCACAGAAGCACTGGAGAGAGGGTTTGAATGCAGGCAGCATGCCTTGAGAACCTCTCCTCTCGTTTGCTTCTTGGTCCTCCCCAGCTCATACTTTCCTTGACAGCTTGATTGCTATGATTCTTGCTGTGATTTCTTTCAAGAAGTCTTTTACAACAAATTTTGGGGTCAGGCTAAAGTTGGAGTAAATCCACTTGAGGTCACTGGGTCAGTAAGAGGTAGCGCCCGTGTGAAACCCCCAGGATGTTCGGTATAGGGGAAGAGTGGTGCCCTGGTACTGGGGGGGGGGAGGTGCACTGGAATTCCTCTTTTTTAGTGCACCTGTCACACCCACTGTGACCAAATCATGCCATCTTCTCCACCAGCCAGTCAGCTTCTCAAGTGTAGGTAACATTTTATTGCCCAGGATTGCACTACTGGAATTGAAGGGAGTAGCCGTTGGCTGTGCATGTGGAACATGCTTTTCAGAGATGAGAAAACTGAGGTCCAGGGTAGTTGGGGAGCTTCGCAGTGTTGGCTAGATAGTAAAAGGCAGAATCAAGAGGGCGGATTCGAACCCTGTTCTGCCCAACTCAAGCCCATGGTGTTTTGAGTGAATGAGTAACTTCATGCTTCCACTCATCTGTACTTGGCTCAGGATGCTAAGTTGCCTCAAGACCCTTGCTATTTTTTACCAGCTCTTTCCAGGGGCCCTTCCTTCTTCCTAAAAGCCGTAGACAGGTAAGCTGTTGGGAAGGGGGAAAGGGGTCATCAGGACTCTGTTGTGCCTGAAACTGCAGGGAGAACATTGAGCCCATGGCTTACTCAGAGGTCGTGACAATTTCCTTGAGTGCTAGAGATACTTTTTATGAAGGCCAAGGATCACAGCCCATCTGGATCACCTGGTGACTGAAAGAGGGCTTCAGAAGGAGTCAGATGGGCACTGAGAGCTTCAGGCTGATTTTTGAAAGACCCTTCACTTTGTATGGCCTTAGTCCCTTCATTTCAAAAGTGGGGAGGGACAGG